TTTTTTTTTTTTTTTGGGTAGAGACGGGGTCTTACTCTGGCTCACTGGGGCTCATGCGCTGGGACAACAGGTGTGAGCCACCACGCCTGGCCTATAAGCTGTCATTTCAAGGGGGATGAATATCCCACAGACCTCTGGGCCCACCTCTGTAACTCCTGAGGGGTACTTCTCCCTCCACACTGCAACTGGTTCACAGGCCACACAGGGCGCGCACCACCAGTGCTGGGGGGCTCACAGACCACAGCCCCAGTAGGCCCCCCAGTGGCCTTGGAAAAGGCACATGACTTGTAAGGTATCACCTTACGCACCCTACTGATAACTAAAGTCATATTGCTGCCTGGGAAGTGTGCAGGTAATGGTGTCCCAGAGCAGACAGTGATGTGGTGCATGTATACAGCGACAGTACACTACCATCAAGGACACACTGGAAATAGTACTCTGCACTATGGTTAAGAGCTGCTAGAAGCTGGGCGTGGTGGCTGATGCCTGTAATCACAGCACTTTGGAAGGCTGAAATGGGAGAACTACTCAAGGCCAGGAATTTAAGACCAGCCTCGGCAATACAGCCAGACCCCATCTATATAAAAATTAAAAATTTAGCCAGGCATCATGGCACATGCCTGTAGTCTCCCACCTACTTGGGAAGCTGAGGTGGGAGAATCTTTTCAGCCCAGGAGTTGGAAGTTGCAATGAGCTATGCGGTTGCAGTGAGCTATGATCACGCCATTGTACTATATAGCCTGGGCCTCAGAGTAAGACCCAGTCTCTTAAAAAAAAAAAAAAAAGAAGATAGACTGTTTTAATTGGTCTTTCTCTCTTTATACACACATGAAAAAGTAAAAGGGAAATCTGCGGATCCTCACAGGGAGGCCTAACTCAAACCTTCTCACCAGCTGCCAACTAACTTGACAGCAAAGTCAGGTGGAACAGAAATGGTTCCAGAGAGCAGAGAGGCCACTGGCCGTCCACGCTGCCACACCTGCATGGAAGGAGCTTAGCGGGACCTCTAATTTTCAGCAACCATAATTGTTCTTTCTTCCTTTTTAAAGAAAATTTAAAAGGAAAACTTTCTGTAAGAAAAAGCTGACATACTAACATATCCAAGGTTATCAAAGAAATTGAAAAAAGTATCAAATAATTTGGTTCCCACTCACTGGTGAGAAGTCACCACAGCTCACTGATAATGCTGTACCCTGGCTTGTGCCTTTTTAAGAACTGTTTTTCCCTCTGACAGGTGGAGCTGCTAGCTGAGGTAACGGGCTCACCGGACATGAGGGCACAGTTGAGTTGAAACTTGTTTGCTACAATAGTTCAGCGGGGATTGGATATGGATAAAACAGCAGGTTAAGAGAAGAATGCTTTTCAGGGTAAGTCAACATGAACCAATTATTTTTAAAAAGACAAATGTAAGAAAGGACCGACTAGAAACACCCCCCCCC